AGGCTCAAATAGATTCATACGCTCAGATCTTTTAACAAGTACCGCTGTAGATTTCACAGTGCCAGTTGGCTTGGCCAGGCCACAGCCTGTTAAGAAAATCGACCAATCGCAATATAAGCTCAACCAATTGTTGTTTTTTAAAGTCCTTAAGGATATAAGCTTTGCAATCATTGCGCCCTGGAAAAAAGCAGTGTAAAGAACTCTAAGGTCACCAAATCACATGACATTCATGCTCATGAGTGTATGTAAACATTTGACCACAAATATATATTGATATTTGATATAAAATTTGTTTATAACTAGAATTATGAAATAATTACTTTTATCATTCTCTTTCACATGATATATGTTTTCTACCCCAAATTTAAACCCTCTGCATTTTTGTATGTTTTTTGTTCTGATCAATGACTATAGAAACAAAGTCATTGTGCTTTAAAATATTCATTTGGACTGCAGATACCAAAATGCATTTCTGTTTTCCGGTATGTTTGAACTGCCTTCAGAATAAAATTAAGTTTTAAAACATTTCTAATAAGGAATTTTCACTGTTTCTTCCATAGCTTTTCCATGAATAGCAACAATTAAAAAAATAAAAAGATTACACATAAGACGTATGGAATATCTGTATGTTTACTATTATTATTATTATTATTATTAATGGTGGTAATAGCAAGTCGTAGTATTATTTATTTTGAAGGGTCATACCGGAAGTTAACTTGATTTTGCCGGCTAGCTGTATTATGGCGGTGCTAGGAGGAAACTAGATGATGTCTTTTATTTTGCCATGATTTATAGTTTTTGCATTCCCGTCCAGATTACAATATAGAGATATAAACGTGTTACTTCCGTATTAGTTTCTACGCATAGACACGAAGCTTGTTTGGAAAATCCGAGCGTTTCGCTTGCTGCTTGCTTTGCTAGTGTGGTCCTTGAGAAGTTTAGACATGTGCACACAGACGAAGGCGGCTGCTCTCATGGCCAACATACCGCAGGCAGACATCGACCCTTCCGGAGTATTTAAGTACGTCTTGATCCGTGTTCATAGCCGAGAGGAGGGGGACGACTCGGAGGTGGATATAGTCCGAGGATACGGCTGGGCTGAGTACCACGGTGAGTAAGGACAACGCTCAGAGGGCTATGTTTTAAGCGTAAAATACACTTCCATCTGCACCTGAACGCACCAGAGATATACCCCCGAGGTCAAACAAACAAACAGATGACCCAGCTTTGCTTCTGTCCTAATACTGACTCATCTCGAGGATCTGTCTCCCACCTCTGTGTTGTTCTTGATGGTTCTCCTACCCTCGCCATACCTACAGACTGTATATAAAAGATGGACATAACAGTTGTCCTCCCAGTGGCTGTTTTGTTGTGGCTATAGTCAGAATTCATCCAAGGCTTTAACAACCTGTCATTAAAAACATGGCCGCAGGTCATTGCACAACATGGATAGCATGCTGTTAATTAACATACGCTTGATCAGCATCACTTGTGAGATATATTGTTTTTAATTATGATTGGACAGTGCATTGCTCTGAATTGTAGGACAGCATTATTCCCTGTCCTTTCATGAAGGACAGTGACCAGTGTATCTCCTGCTAAATGAGATGATAAAGGGAGGGACCATGTTGCAAATAATAATATTACTTATACCCAGCTTAATTAACCCCATAGAGTTGGGACTGGCAAAAGAGAGAACCCAAATAAGTTCATATAAACACAGTTATGCTGTTGTCACAAGACACTCTAACAATTGTGCCCATTGATGATGAGGTCAGAGATTGGCCTTCAGTAAAAGATTTTCATCTAATTTCTCAAGTGGTGCATTAAAAAATTTATTATTTTGAGTTTCATAATAATTTGAATCTGCCTCCCCATAGTTTCCTGTTCTACCTCCGCATATAACCAACATTAGGATGTGTCTAGGTGTCCACAGGTGTGCGCACATGATTTCTTCCCTGAACTTGGGTTCACTTTGAAATCAGTGTGTGTGTGTGTGTGTGTGTGAGAGAGAGAGAGAGAGAGAGAGAATGAAGCAATGACTCTGATCCATCATAAGGAAAGATACGTTTTTGTCAGTGCAAAACAGGGTATAGTAAATGCAAGAGAGACAGGTGAGATATTTTAAAAGGGAAAAAACAGACAAACTGGACCATATACCAGAGCTATAGGTGTACGGTAAATAAGTAAAGCAGCCAATCATCTCCCTTCATCTCACCCTATCCCCAGCATCCTCCTCTGTCCCATCAACCCTCTGCGTGTCGATGTGCAGGGAGTTCGCTGTTATCGCCCTGGCTAGCTTTCGAGCTGGTGGGTAAAAGACGTCTCTAAAAACGTCGGAGCACTTTTGAAAATATGTGGTGTCTTGATAAACCGAGGAGATATTTGAAGTTTACACAGCTACATTCTCGCCTGAAAAAATCTTAAAAGTTTATTTTGTGACCCAGAAAGAGTAATAAGAGTAATATTAAAACTAAAAGGTGGACGCATTTATCAGCTGCATTCGGAGTCTACGAATTTGGACAGCCTTCGGCGCATCGCTGTGATGTAAAGTTTTGTTTTGTTTTTTTTAAGTTTTGTTTTTCTTTTTTTTTTGCTACTTCACTCAATCCTATCAATCAATCAATTTATTTATAAGCACATTTAAAAACAACACAGGTTGACCAAAGTGCTGTACGTAGTAAAAAAAAGTAAAAAGCATCACTCTGTATTACACCCTCTTCTTAATGTCTACCACAGGCATTCCAGTCCTTTTTGCATATCCACCACCATCTATCGTTCAACATTTCTCTCCTTAACACCTTATCGCCTGTGTTCCTGCATGTCCACTGAAGTCTACTTTAATATCCACTCACCCCCTCCTTCAGAATCACGCCTTCATTTTCCAGCTTCAAACTCATAATCCTGTCTGACAGTCTTCACCTCCACAACACTCTTTATATACTCTTGTCAAGATTACCTCTACTCTATTTTACTTCATATCTACACCATAGTAGAACTATTTGGATCCACCTCCAATGCTTCTGGCACACACAATATATCTACTAATCTTCCCCCATTCATACCACGAAATGCTCTCTGTTTACTAGACAGTTTCTACACTTAAAGTCCCTGCTCTCTCCTTCACACTCCTAATTTTCCTTCAGTCTCACTGCCTCCTACGATGCCTTCTCCCTTTTCTTTTCCTTTGTCTTTGGCCAACACAAGGCAAAGTTTCAGCACAGTTTCTAAGGTCAGCCTGTTGGCCAGCAGCACCATTTTTACTTCTTTTTTTTTGTCAGGGTAATATCTTATCTACTACTACTCTAAATTGCTATTCTAATATAAATATGTATAATTTATATGGATTTCTTTCTATTCGATAAAATTCATAATATAAATATTAAATGGACAAAGTAAAATGTATAGACTTTGTTTGTTCCTATTACCCAGTTATTAGTAAGTACATTAAGCAAACATTACTAAGAAATGAACAAAGAATTTCTGTGTGGCTCAAGCACATGGACACAATATGCTCAAATATCCCTCATGCCAGAGATAAAGTGCGGCCTAGAGAATCCACATTTCCCCAACCAGTCTAAAGATCTGTAGACTTTATGTATGGCTCTGCCCCTATCCCCTACCCAACCTCCACCTTTCCTCCGCTTTGTCTCTTTTATATTGTGGAGGGGGAATTATCACCACCTCCAGCCTGTCGTTGATAGCTCTGTGCAGACCATACATTAAGGCCTCACCATGCCTGCGCTTTCTCCTCAGGCTCCACAGCTTTTCACTTTTTCACAGTTTTGACCTTTTCTCCTCCCTATGAGCTGCATGACGAGCTTGTTGTGCTCCTTGGTTCTATAGGGGAAGCAAAGACACTGTTTTACATCTAATGTATATTTTACATGTCTGTGCACTCATTGACCGACTGCCTCATTTTGGTTTTGGAATTTTGTAATGAAGGGATGTTTATGTAATCCGTTGGTGCTTATTATGTAGTATTAGTACACAATATGGAGCGGCACAAAATATTATAAACACTGTATAATAACAGGCAGCCTTCAGAATAACTGCAGACTTTATGAATGCAATAATGATGGCTTTGCATTTAGTAATGACAGGTCTGTGCTGCTCTCTGCTGGACAACACTGAAAGCACAGTACATGCAATTTTATTTAACAGCTGACCAACCTCATGAAACTCAATGAACACTGTATGGACGCATCCACATACCAAGCAGGCATTTGAAATTATAAATAAAACTCCAGTTACAAACTCCAAGTCACCAAGCTATATTTTCTAAGGCAATAATTCATGCTTTGATGTAGAAAATATTCCAAAAACTTTGTTTCTGAGTTGTATCCATCCTTTTCCCAGCTGACATCTATGAGAAGGTAGCAGAGGAGCTGGAAAGGGACGGGCACTTGGACTGTGAGTGTATAGGAGGAGGGAGAATCAAACATGACCTCCAGGCCAAGAAGATCCATGTCTATGGATACTCCATGGTGGGTGATTCTTATCTGTAAATACCGAGAAAGTATGAATACATTGATGGGTTTTTTTTTTCAGTGGTTTAAATCAAATGTTATTTCATCTTTCTGATGAAACACTGATGTGTCTTTTTTGATCACAGGGATTCGGAAGAGCAAACCATGCAGTGACCACTGAGAAACTCAAGGTTCGGTATCCAGACTATGAGGTGACCTGGGATAATGAAGGCTACTGAAATGAACTTTAAACAGCTTCTACTTGATTCCCTGTAACCCTGGACTGATGTATTTTTTTTGTAACCGTTCGTTATCTGGCTAAACACATTTAGGATTTTTCTTTTTATTAATACAACAGCTTTAAGTTTTCACCTTCCTTCCTTGTGTAAAACATAACAGCTTTTCATAGTGTAGCTAATAATTTAATGAATGTAATTTGTCATGTGGAAGCATTTTAAATAAATGACTGCCTGGCGCTGGCTTTGCAGATTACCGTCCTCTCCTTCACTGACTCGTTTTAGAGTCATGATCCCTCATAAATTTCTTTGGAAATTAAAGTTACAAAGCAAACCTTACAAGTTTTAATGTGAGGTTTTATTGTGAAATGTGTGCTTATATTATGTGCCTCTTTCCTGCAGAGCAGAAAAATGACAACACCCCATCTCTTTGCTTATCTTACTTTTTACAGCAGCTATGGTCCAGATTCCAGCGTGCTGTAAACTGTTGATTAAAATGGCCACAGTTGCTAGATAAAAGTAAATGAACTTGATGTTCCTGATTACTACCATTGTGCTGAAGTATTCTGAAAGGATTCTGACATTCTGGTTGATATAGGATCAATTTTGGATTGATTTCTGACAGGTTTACAAAATGACTTGCATTTTTTAAGCAATATAACTAAAAATAAGTGACTGAGATCATAAGTTCATCAGGAGCATATTCACTGAGGTCAGGTCAGATTTAACAAGCCAATTTTCCCATAGACTTCCATAAGTCTGGAAGTGTTTGCAACCAAGGCTATTGCCAATCTGTTGGCTTTTTAATTATCAGATATATGCTAATTAGTGCTTGTAGAGACTAATAAAATACTAGAATTTCACTCAACAAAACTGAAGAACAAACGTCTTGGATAAGTTGTATCACAGAAAGACACATTATTAGTCAGATTATTCCATTAAAATGCTTCAAAATGGGCCAACACCACAAACACAATGGAGATGAGCTCAGTGACTCAGTAGGGGGTTTAGGCAGTTGGCGGTTCTCAGTCAACTGCAAATTTCTCTAAATCCATGACCTAACAGAATTAAGGGTTTGTTTGTTTTTTTAAATTAAGCATGTCATACTTTATGGCTTTATGGGGAAAACTGTTTACAAAATGAACACTGAATAAGACTTAAACTTGTGACTGAGGCCATAAACTTATCAGGAATATGTTTACTGCGTTCATAAAGCAGGTGAACTAAAACAAGGTTGCCCCTGCTGCCATAACAAACAATACTGGTTTAATGCTGTTCCACACTGGCTTCCATTTTCAGATTTGGAAACTATGTATAACTTTTCTATACAGCATATGATCCACAGCATATTTATGCCAGGACAGAAACCTGACAACGTGCTAGAAAATACATATTAATAATCAGTAAAGATAACTGTGGATAAAAATGTATTCAAATATTTAATTTAAAATACAGACAGTCATGTAAAAAAAGAAAAGAAAAAGACATTTTTCACAGGGCTCTAATGCAGTTCTGTGAAGGACTAAGTATCCTTACGGCTTCCATGGTAAGTAGCAGCTAGGTGCTCCTAATCTGATGCAATTGATTAATTGATCATCACTAAGTGTGAGCATCTCTTCCAAGAAGATTTAGCATTTTCCCGGTCGGAGCTTTCAAGTGTTAACACAGCGTCACGTTCTTCCCAAGAGTGGGCACCTCAGTCATTCGCTCAGAGAAATATAAAACAAATCCAACAGCTGCAACTTAGGTGGGCAACTCCAGGCCTCGAGGGCTGGTGTCCTGCAAGTTTTAGATATCACCCTGGGTCAACACACCTGAATCAAATGATAAGTTTATTACCAGGCCTCTGGAGAACGTCAAGACATGTTGCTGAGGTAATTTAGCCATTTGAATCAGCTGTGTTGGATGAAGGACACATCTAAAACCTGCAGGACACCGGTCCTCAAGGCCTGGAGTTCCCCAACACTGACTTAGAGTTTATAGACCTCAGTTTAACATGTTAAATGTAACAACTGTAAAAAGAACATGTATGGTTTCTTTGGAAGGATAGCCCGGCGTGCCATGGTCCCTTAAAAGAATATGGCAGCACATCTTAAATTTGCAAATTTGCATGTAAACACACCACAAGTCTTCAGGACCTTACTCAACCAAAGTAGAGATGTTTGGTCATAATGTGCGGTGCGACATTTGAAGAAAACCAAACATGGCTAATGGCAAATACCTTATACCAACTGCCACGCATGGTGGTGGAGGGGTGATGATTTGGGCTTGTTTCAGAGCCACAGGATCCAGGCACCTTTTCTGTCACTGAGTCAACCGTGAGCGCCTTTAAATACCAATGGATTCTAGAGTCAAATGTGAAGCCATCTGTCCAACAGGTAAAGCTTAGCTGAGACTGGCTCATGCAACAGGACAGTGATCCCATCACAGCAGAAAATCTACAACAGAATTGCTGAAAAAAAGGGTGTTGCAATGGCCCAGTCAAAATTTAGACTTCAACCTATTTTAAAATAGTTCTCTGGGCTGTATTTCGTCACCCTGTATTTATACATGTGTAATGACAATAAAGTTGAATCCTAATTCTAAAACCTTAATTTCACACGAATGTAGATCAGTTCAACCTCCGGACCTTCAACAGAAGCTTAAATGAAGCATTTCTGATTCCTCTGGTATGTTGCAGTAATGATATCGCTTTTAAAAAAACAACAACTTTAACACAAATGCAGTGTTATAAACTGCACCTATTAATAAAGACAAAGATAAATGAATCTACTGAGGTAATGATGTTGGAGTAATGCATGCGAGACTTAAAGCAGGATGCTGCCCATGTTTCTGTCTTAAATACCTATGCAGCATGACTGAGGTAAGCTAAAATTGCTTCCGTAAATTGCCCTTTGCATCTGCCTTGCTCTGCATTTCTGTATCTGCCAAGTAAATGAGCAATGTCCGGACATCCGCCATCGTTTGTAGGAAATTATTTTATAATTGTTGGCTGCTGTTGCATGATGGGTGATTTTAAAGTCCAACTGTTATCTCTCATGCACAGAGAAGAGGTCAGAGTCAACAATAAAGTCTCTGCAGGTTGTCGGCAAACCTTCAGATTGATGTGGTGCAAGAAGGGAGAAAAAGAAGATGTTTGATTTGAGGAGCTCAGCGCTCATTCTGCTGTGGGCTCTGCAGTGGGGTAAGAAAACCTTCAGTTAGATTTTAATTATGTGCAGCAATAATGGTGCTAACTATTCTAAACTGAGTTTGTGCAGCCCTGCTACACATAGATTGAAATAGTGTCTTGACAAGTCAGTTGATTTTGGATTTTCTAATTAAGCCACAGTCAGTAAAAAAATAAAAAAGTTAGTATTTGATAAAGAAGCCACAAGCAGTTGAAAAATTTTCTCTTTCATCTCAGTCTCAGATGCATAACTGTTGCTGCTATGGAGGTTTTTGCTATCTTTGGGAATTTAGGCAACCTGGCATTTGTTTTCCATCTGATAATTAAAGATCCACAGACAGAACAGACATGTTGAGACAGAACATATAATTAACCATAATATTTAATATGACAAATATAAAGGATAAAGAAATGCTCAATGTGGTTTTGAGTGTTTCACAACTCTAAGAGTCCAGAGAAGATGTCAGGTAATAACTCCTTACTAAAAATGTGAGCTTTCATGTGTGATTTATTTTCTAACAAAATGATGCTGTGATGTCTTTTGGGATATTCAGACTCAAAAATCAAATGTCTGGTGTCCTGTCTATTTTCTAGCTATTAGGTTACTGAATCATAAAGTCTTGAGTCTTAGTCAGAGACGTTTGGTTGGACAGATGCCTTCAGTGGATGGTGTCACCCTGATTACTTCTCTGCGGTCTTTGAGCCTGTTGGCGTTAGATGGGTTGTAAACCTTTGAGTCATGAGTCATGAGAGAGTTTGGACCTGATTCACACACCCAGAAACAACGATGGAAAAAAATTCAGTATTTTCAATCTTTGGCTGGAACATATTTGCATATTTACATCAGCTCTGACAGGTTAAGGCTTCTACTGTTGTCTTTTAATAGGAAAGGCTACAGTTATTTTTTTCAGTCCATAGTGATCATTGGTCTGATTTTTGACCATCTCATACACCCTTGATCAGCAGGTGTAATTTCACAGGACAAAAGGAAAAAAATGAATTTTGTGTTTCATATTGTTATCCAGCTGCTGGCTCTTCAGCTCAGTCGTGTCAAGCTCCTGGGGGGAAATGTAACTTTGTGCAAGACTGTCCAGACTGGAGTGATGAGCAAGGCTGTGGTAAGTTTTAAAAATGTAATTTAGTCCCATCTATAATCTGATTTTTTTTTTTTTTTTTTTTGGTGCCATTTCTTGTCAGATTTGTCTCAAAAATGGGAAAATGCTTCAGTGCTGAATATGCTGAATATGATTAGCATCACCCATAGATTTGACTTGACTATATCAATGTGATCATGTTACATGATCATTATGGTCTCATTAAGCTTCTGTGTTTTATTGACATTCTGAAAGGGGAATTTTAACTAATTTTGAGATGCTGGTCACTTATGTTCAAATAAAACAATCATCATATTTAAGATAACAATTAAAAGACCCTGATTTTGCATCTGTGGCATCTGCTAGCTACGGGAAAACTTAGCGGTTTCTAAGGTTTGGTCACAATTTCTAGATTTTATACCTACACAGCAGGAAATTTTTACTCCAAATTATGGTAGGGTAAATAGTTTTCATAGTGGAAGACCTCTCCTGTAATACACAGTATTATAACAATTGAATGTTCTGTCACCCCTGTGAAAGGCTACAATGGAAAGGGGTTTGTGTGTGACTTTGAGGATGAAGGAATGTGTGGATGGGCTGACACGTCGCCCAGTGCACAATACAAATGGGAGAGACATCAGAGAGGGGAAACGGTGCCTGACAGTGGACCGTCCACCGATTACACCACCGGCACAGCCATAGGTATTGTACAGTCTTTTTTATTGTCATGTTTATAGTCAAAGCTGTATTATTGCAAGTATTTTAGAAAGTCATCCTGAATATGGAATGGTAATAACTTGAAATTTTCTAATCAATATGTCTTTTTACAAAGGTTGGTTCATGGGAATCAGTGCAGTAAATGAAGACTTGCTCCATACTGCAGTTTTAATCTCTCCAGAGATTAATCAGTCTTCAACAACGTGTCGCCTTCGCCTCAGATACTTCCTGTGGGACTCGGGTAATGACGGCAAATAACTGCATGTCATATATTTAGATAACCAGGTTTTTTCCTCTCCGTCTCTCTCTGTTAGTCCTGTTTTTGGTCATAACAAGCCCTACCTTTAAAATTGTATAATGTTTCTTTAACAATCTTTAAAGATAAAATGTATTTCCCCTGCAGCTGTCGTGCTAATAAATACTTTAATGTTTACTTTTTACTATAGGTAACACCGGTCTGGGATCTACGCCCTTGTGGGCATCTGTCCTCTACCCAGGTGGTGAAGAGGCTGTTGTTTGGCGTCCTGAGGCCTCCAGTGTTCGTGCCTGGAGGGAAGCTCTCATCTTTCTGGGCCGGATTCCCTCAACTTTTCAAATCCGTCTTCACTCACTGCGGTCAGTGGGACAAAGAGGAGATGTAGCCATAGACCAGCTGGAGTTTCTAGACTGTGCTCTTCCCTGTAAGCCCTTCAAAAGATCCCATTTGTCCCCGCCTTTTTCAAGTCTTTGCAGAGTGTTTTACAGTCAATTAATTCCAGTAAACTGATTCATAAGTGATAGTTTTTTATTTTCTCTTGATCATCAGCACCAGTCCCCGGGGGAAACTGTTCAGCAGGGATGGTGAAGTGTAACAACGAGGCCTGTGTGGAGGAGCGCCATCTCTGTGATGGCAGCGATGACTGTGGTGATGGATCTGATGAGCTCAACTGCAGTGAGAAATCTAATTTCACCTGAATCCCATAATAAATATGTAGGAATATTTTAGTCACAATGCAAAGTAATAAAATTGGTGGGGAAAACAGACTTATTGCTCACAAAAAGTTCAATCAAATTAAAAAAAATGTCTGCAAATGTCACTGGAAGTACGTTCAGACACAGCTATAGTCCCAGTCGACACACCGGTGTGTACATGCGTCTTTTATTAAGAGTGTAGCACCACCATGTATTTTGATCAATGTGCTAAAACCACTTTTGTAGTCCTAACCATCAGCTGACCTAACCAAAAATGTCATCATCATATCATCAGTGAATGACACGCGGCTCTTCGCTCTTGAATGGGACACCTGTGCACAGGGTCCTTTGTCCCTTTTAGCAGAAGTGACATAGAGTAATAGGCCTGTGCAATTAATACAAATTAAAACGTAATTACAATTATAATTTCAAGCATGTGTGAAAATATTGCTAAGATGCATTTGTTTTTTCTATGGCACTTCTTTGTTTATTGTTATCAAGCGAAAACTCCAAACTCAGTCTCCAACAGTGTGTGGCAGGTTTAGTTCAGATTGGAAGACAGACTGACTTTTGTCAACAGGAATAATAAAACTTGGTTAAAATAATAAAACTGACAAGGAACAACAAATCCAAATCCATTGTCAGTACGATTTAAAATAATCATGAGTGCTTTGGGTTGCAAAAAGAAGATGTGTTATTATATAAGGCAGTGGAAAAGCGGTTCTTGTGTATTTTGTTCAGTTGCCTCCGAATAAACATTCCTGTAGAAGCGACTCATATCGATATCATCTTTTAGCTTTTGTAAGAAATACTTAAATCAGAAGGAATCATCTTACATTAAATATCTTTGTCAAAATTAGCTTTTTATTGGTAAGGACCAAACTGTCTTCATGTTAATATTTTAAGCAAAATTACTCCAACAAAGTGCTGCGGCTGGAATGGCTGCCATGTTTTCCAGTAACAAAAAACCTGATTTTGTACTCAGTACTTTGTAAAACAGAGTTTGCTTGAAGGAGGTTGCTTGTGATCGAGAGGCAACACAAGTATTGGGCAAAGATCGGTATATATTTTTAAATAATATTTATAAACCAGGTTTAAGGCTTTAAAAAAAGTTGCCATGATGACCATGTCCATCTTTTATGGAAAGTACACTTTATAATGATGACTATTTGTTCCGTCTTTGTTTGTTGCGCCCCCAGCTCGATATGAGTCCTGTGACTTTGAGGAGGACCTGTGCATTTGGGACCTAAGGTCACTTTCACCATTGAAATGGGTAAGGACAAATCAGACACAGATCTCCAACACGGATCCTCTGAAAGGACCAGGCAGAGATCATTCTAGTAACTCAGCATCAGGTATGATATTCAGACAAATCAGAGAACCCTTTTGTATTTTTGCTACTGAAGCTATGCTTTTACTCCTTACTGCTAGTATTTGAAATGCTTTTGTATTAGAAATAAAAGGCAAATTTAAAAAAAATACTATGTCATTGTTTTTATTTCAGGTCACTTTCTCTATGTTACGGTCCCTGATGAGGGTCTCGAAAGTGACTGGGCCTCCTTCCAAAGTCCCTCTCTAGAACCCACCAACAGTTCACATCCTTGCAAGGTGAGTCCAAAACTGATGCCTTCGTTCTTCAGCGGCTTTTACTTTTACTGTTTCACAGTAGTCTGAAACATTCAAATGCTTTGAAAAGGTAAAAATGTGGAAAATGTTATTCACAAATTGAATTAACAATCACATAAGGGTTATTGTTTTTTTAAGAGTATACTTTCTGGATGGGGGGGGGCGCGCCAGGGATAGCTTAGTAGGTAGAGTCGTGGCCCCATGATCGGAAGGTCGGTGGTTCGAATCCACTGAACGGCTACCCTGAGGTGCCCCTGAGCAAGGTACCGTCCCTACACACTGCTCCCCGGGCGCCCAATGGCTGCCCACTGCTTCACTGAGTGAATGGGTTAAATGCAGAGAGGAATTTCCCCACGGGGATCAATAAAGTATACTTTCTTTCTTTCTTAAATTGCTGGAGAGAAAAGCATTTTTTCATCCCTCATCTTTAAATTAACATTGTTAACAATAATTTGAATTTAAAACCTAATTTCATGAGTTTACTGTACCTGCCTGTTGTAGATGGTGATGTACACTCACCAGTTTGGGCCGAGGTCGGGGGGTTTGACGGTGTTGGTTGCAGATAAATATATCTACCCAGTGTGGGAAAGAGGTGGCTCTCTAGGTGATCTCTGGGTAAAGGCAGAGGTGGAGATTGTCACCAACGTCGCTTTCCAGGTAAGTGCCTCTCACAGGTGAATTAATAACCATAATAGGGAAGCTGGGCTTCACCCATTCCAACTCTAAAATAGGGATATTGATGGGTTAGGACTACAAATCTAAAAAAAAACAAAATCCTGAATAGCAAAGAAGTTAGTACATAAGGTAAAGATCAGTAAAATTAGGTTTTTGTAAGTAAGTAAAGTTTACAGAATCGGTTAAGTCTGGCCACAGAAATTCATGTAGCTCGGAGGTGCGATGATTTGATAAGAGATGATTCCTCCAAGCCACTACAGTAATCTATGTAATGTAAAAATAAATATATGTGTCGATTTAATGTATGTATACAGCCGACACAATTCTCACAAGTCTAACTGTTATATGTTCATCTTCAAAAAATAAAATGTATGATATATCAGCCACCGTTATTATTTTTGAATAAACCTGGAACAAAGTTCAAAGAGAGCTTGCAATACTTTATTTTAATACAACAACTTTATGTTACTGCAGGTACATTAATGCTGAAAAGTTGAGTCACTGTTTTTGAAAGCAAAGCACATCTTTTTAAATCTTGCATTATATTAACTTAGTGAAATACCAATGATTAAGGTTTACATAGGCCTGTTTTTTAGTGTTCCAGTGGCACGTTGTGTTCCCTAATGCTTGGTCGTTATGTTAAAAGGCTGACTAGATATTAGACAAACCATTTTCCTTTTATATTAGCACAGCTGAGGGCTGTTGTCGAGTGTCTGAATCATCAAACTGTGTGGGTTTGATAATAATCTCAAAACGGCCAAAAAGTGACTAAATAAGTACAATTCTGCAAATTAAAAGCAGCTAAATGCGATTTCAAAAACCAAATTCTGATGCATGAAAATTTCACACAACAGTGTGCACTACTACCGTCACATAACAACACAAACTTGCTCCAATGATGGATTGATTTTTCCTGTTATTAGTTACATCCTGGAGCTGTTCGTTTACTGCTAATATTGAGATTGTTTTGGTGAGCCAATTAAGCATAGCTGGGAGTCATCGTTTAATCAAACACTTTTCCACACAGAAAAGCTTTAAATTCTTAATACATGAACATTTTGAAATAATTCAGAAGGAAGTTGATGTTGTAAAGGCAACAGTGGTTAAATTTTAACTTTAAGCTTAAATAATTAAAATATGAGGGTTTTTTTTTAAATTATCATTATCTTTTTACCTTTTCACATATACTTTAATTTACTTTAATAGAAATGATGGTGATTATTCAGTTCAGTTCAATTCCATGTAATATACCAAAAGCCGCTTTATATCATAATGTAAAGACCCTGCAATACTGGGTCTCCATGTACCTATGTAATTAATGCATGGATATATATTTATATATATTTATTTATTTATTTATATATATATTTATATATATTTATTTATTTATTATTGTTATATTAATATATATAAGAAATATATCATAATATAATATATTTAAAAAATAACATTTAAATGTAAACATTTAAAATGAATATAACATCGCCTAAAAAGCAAACAACAACATTTTATAGATCGCGTTAAACCAAAGTTTTTCAGCTCTAGCGTACAGCTTCTATATGCGCATAAATAATCAAAAATCAAAATTTTCCGACTTTAAAATAAAAAACATTTGAGATCTGAATGTAATACTCAATAGAAAGAAAAGAACAGTTTACAGGCGACAAATGAAGAATAAAAGAAAAGAAAACATCTCTTTTAATTTGAGTTTACATGACTACTAAATGTAATTTAGTATTTTTGTACTCACAAAATTCAAAAATGTTTTGTTTTTTACCTCTTTTATAGTGTAACTGGTGAGAATTTTAGTTGAAATATAAAATAGCTAATTTGCTCTTTTGAATTATTTTCTCCCTATAGATCCTGATTATGGCAGCAATCAGAAACTTTACATATGGAGGTATCGCGATTGACAGCATTGTTTTGTCTCCCGAATGCCGCTTATCAGCCAGTAAGCTTCTTAATTGTCTTAACTTTGAGGAAAAACATCTGCAGGGAATAAGTATAAACATCTTCTGTCGTTGAATGACTCTTGCTCATGTTCTTCTCTTCCATAGATACTAGTTCTGTTGAAACACTCCCTGATCACCCTAAAAATCCATGTGCTGAACCGGATAAGTTGTGTGATTTTCATATTGACTGTGAAGGAGCAGAGGATGAAGCTAAATGTGGTGAGTGCATTCATCCTGTTTATTTGGTTTGACTTTTTTAAAATGGTCTGCAACGTTTTAAAAGACTTTTGATTTTATAAAATGAAGTGATGCCGAATCCAGCAGGGTGTTCCTAAACTTAACCCAACTCTATTAATAATAGCTATTTTATTTCAAGAAGAAGGTTAATATACTTAAAATAATCTGCTGGTAAATAATTAACTTGTATTTTACACAATTTCATTGCTAATTTTCAAAAAGAAATTAAGTAGGTTGTGTTTATTGCTTTGGTTGCTCCTAAACTTTACAAGTAATGTCTCATGCATGGAACATGTGATATACAAAATTATTGCTGATTATGGTTGCATTTTTAATCACTGCTGTTAACTGCTGTTTCTTCAAAAACCTCTTCTGCAGGTGATTTCTCTTACTCTCAGGGCAGCTCTGGGTGGACTGACACCAGTCTTGGGGGTCAAGGTTGGGTACTATATCAAAATTCCACAGCCCAGGGTACAGATAGCTCTTTCTGGTATTCATTTATTTATTTGTTTAGTGCTAATTTCATAGTACAATTTATTCCCGTGGGTCTATTTTTATCTGTCAGAGGAGTTTCTGTATGTAGCCAAAGCTCCAGGCCAGCAGCTGACTGAAGCCCAAACACGGACCCCCCTCCTAGGCCCCACTGGTCCCGTTTGTAGCATGAGCTTTGATTATGCACTAACTGGGAAACCCAGTTATATTGGTAAGTTGTTGCCCTGCAAATCCTTTTATTCTTTCCAGAACACAAACTTGGTACACTGTAAATAACCCCGGTTACATCTTTCTGCTGCAGGTGATCTGTCCGTCAGAGTGATCGACAGCTCAATGGGCACGGGGCCTAAATTGTGGGAGTTTAATGGGAAGACTGGACCAGAGGCAGAGGATTGGCAACACGCTGACATACTCATTGGATTTAGGAAAAATCGATTCCAGGTCAGCTTAACTTTAGTCTTGCTGCTCAGGTATTTATCATTTTGCTCAACTACAGAGATACAACTCCTCTTCTCATTGGCTGACTCTCATAAACAGAAAATTTGAATGGTAGCTGGGTGGGCCTTCTGTGCCACTTTAATGATATCAGCTTTCAGTGAGGTCATCATACAAAGCCCGAGATTAAACATGACCTCATTATTTAAAATCTTTACCTTGTTTAACATGAGCGTCCATCGCTCTAACAGTACATATGACATGAGCTATATTATTATATTTTTAACTTCAGTCTGAAAACTATAGTCAAAAGAAAAGAGAGTTTTGGGAGGTTTAAACAACACACTCTATAGGAAATCTGCCAATGGCACATTCAGAGGAAGTATAAGCTGAACCATCTGCTCATGGATTTGAGATCAGCTGATCTGACTCAATTGATGTTGAGTTTCACTTTGTGGCTTGCCTGAGCTAATGCTATGCTATTTGTTTTTCTGTAACACAAAATCAAACAATGAAACAGTTAAAATATTATTTAATTCATTAGACCGCTTTGTTTTATCTTCACCAGCTTGCTTTTGAAGCTCACGCTAAGAAACTTTGTCAGTGCTCCAAGATTAAAGTGAAAAATGTCCAATTTAGTGACTGTCATGTTGACTATTATCCATGGTCTCCAACAGGTAACTTTAATATCTACTTATAATTTACATAATTTATGATGCTCAGTTTAAAGTTTTTCTAGTACTTGCTTAAACCAACCAGTTTTGTGTGTGTTTGCCCAGGATTGTCATGTAACTTTGAAGAAGGATTGTGTGGATGGTATCAGGACAGCAGCGACAACTTTGACTGGACAATGCTCAGTGGGATGGACCATACTATCAGTGTTGGTAAGCTCATTTGATTTCAAATAAATTAATCTAGCATTTTATACAGGCTTTTAATCAGGGAGCATCTCAGATGTACATACTTTTGAATCCTTTCCACAGACTCACTCTCTCTATTGGAGAACCCTCAGTGTGGTTTGGCGCAGGTGTAATGCTCTTAACTGCTGTCAGTGATGATTGGTCCTTGTTAATTGATTTTTTTCAGCTGACATGTAGGATGTTATTCTTGTCACAAAGCTGAGAGATGTTTCTTTGCTATAAACTCCTTTCAGTCCCTGTCGATAAATGATGGAAAGCACAGTAAAAGTACTTTGTATTAATTTAATGTAATTTTTTTTGAATAGTTGCCATAAATATAATACAAGTTTGAAAGTGAAGATACTAATTTTGCTAAGCATTATGTGATTGGTATTATACTGTATCAGTGTCTGATGCTGACCTGTCTGTCTGTTGATGTTCAGGCAGAAGCCTTGTCATGGACATGAGGAGTCCATACCTGCACGGTTTGTTTGGACGCTTAATTTCCTTTCCACAGTCACCGGGTCCTAAAGATTACTGCCTTTACTTCTTCTACAAAGTCTATGGGCCAAATGCAGGTGATGATAATTTGACTAAAAGAATGTAATATGTAAATTTAGAATGAAAGATTGTTTCTTCAGTAAAAAAGAAAGAAAAACAAACCTTTAACTAGAAATCTCTGATATTTTTCTTCCAGGTGCTCTGAATGTGAAGCTAATAGATAACAAAGGTTTTGAGATGGTCCTGTGGACCCACAGTGGAGCTCGTGGAAATGTTTGGCATGAAGCACAATGCTCAGTACCGCACCAGATCTCAAAATTTCATGTATGTAATAAATGCACACAGCACCAGTGAAATTACTAAAACAAGGAAATCCATCCTTTTTTCTTCAGCACTTATCCAACTGAGGGTCATGAGGTACTGTAGCCTATCCCAGCTGACACAAAGTGAAACTGATTTTAAACAAATGGTTTGAGTTTTTGGAGAAACTTTGCCCACTTGTGGTAAAACAAAACATCATTGCAGCTCTAAGGAAGTAGATGCCCTTCACGGGTAGACCTATCCTGCCTGCCGCTGGTTTAAAATGCAGCACTGACGCTTTTTGCTTTTATGAAGAATAAAGACCACATCTCCCTTTAACTCATCACTTAATTATTTTGGTCAATTTTTTTAACAGCTGATCCTCTCTTCACCTCCAAAGATCTTAAATATGTATAACGACCCACAATTTTTCTTTATCATTTTTACCATGATGCTATTCCCACTTATGCCAGCTTTCTGTCTTATGTTTGTATTTTTTGTTGCTTGTGCATGTTTTTATTAATTTACTTCTGTCTGCTTATTTATGCTTATGTTTCATCTGAAACATAGATATCAAGTTTCTGTCAATGACATTGTCCAGTATTTGTTGTTTTAAAATCACCTGTACACATTAATTAACTTGGCTTTTTAATAGGAATAGTTAATAACATCTTCCTTCTCTTCCAATTCATCAACAGCTGATGTTTGAAGCCGTTCGCTCTGGCTATGATGGACTCATTGCCATTGATGATGTGGCATTCTTGGAGGGTCCCTGTACCAACCCAAGGATGTGTTCCTTTGAAGGCCAACAGTGTGGGTACACCAGCTCTAGTAAAGATCAGTGGCTCCACCGTAGCGGATACACATCCACATCAAATGGGCCCAAATTTGATCACACCCTGGAGACTGAACAGGGTGAGAAACACCCCTGCTGTTTAACATTAGAATATACATGCAGGAGACTGAGAAATTGAGAATTGTGTTCATATGCTGTATGGTCTCTATCCAGGTTTCTACATGGTTGTTAACACTGGAGCAAGCATCCTTCCCTCAGGTAGCACCGCAGTCCTCACCTCATCTGTTCGCCAAGGAACTACCCGTACTGAGTGTCTAAATTTCTGGTATCACATGGGAGGAGTGAATCCAGGTGGGCCAGCTTCACAGAGGAAAACACAGACACACACATAAAGTTAAAGTAATGGAGTGTGTCCCATAGGTTCTCTTACAGTGTATATGAAGCCAGTGAAGGGAGAGAGGGTCAAGATATTTACAAGCAACCTGAATCAAGGAGATGTGTGGCGTCATGGCTATGGCAACATTTCGAGCTCCCTTGAGGACTGGCAGGTAAGTGTGAAGGCAGATACAGACTTTTTAAGCCACTTTTAATGTGATTAATTTATCCTTCACATAAAATAAACTACTCATTTAATAAACTCATTTATCTAAAAATATGAACATGTGTGAATTCAATTTTCAGTAGTCTGCCTGAGTCACTCACACTCTCCACTCTCTCTATACTGTGCAAAAGTTTTGAGCCATCTCACCGTCATCCCATCAGCAAAGAACCAATTTTAGTTTGCATTTCTAGACACATCATTTGTTCCACTTTCTTTAGCTGAATAACACATAACACAGTTTGAAAGGCATAAAATAGTCATTTTACACCAACAAAGTGATTCCCATAATGCCATTAGCTGAAAACTTGGCAACTTTGGCATGGTGTGCACTATGCACTTAAAAAATCTGAGGAAACCAGATAAGTATCTACAGCAGGTGTATCTGTGAGCTATGAACTTAATTAATAGGAAAAAAATTATTATCTGATTGGCAACAGCTTCATTTTTCAGCATGCTAATGATCCCAAACACACTGTCAATGCAGTAAAAGCATATCTGTGTCATGACGCTGTGTGTGGCAGGCAGGTTAGGACCCAAATGTAGGACTGAACTTAACAGCTTTATTTCTGGAAAATACAAATAACTAAATCTAAGTAACTTAACTGACCGGTTCTCCTAGAAACATACACTGCAGGCACTGAACAAACGGGACACACAGCAAGAGGGAGATCATCACAAGGAGCACAAAAAGACACAGACAATATATATACATGAAGGAATCAGGGCAGAGAGGAAACACCTGGGGAACACGGCTGGATTATAATCTAACTGGCAAGACGGGAACAAACACTGAGACATGACTGACTAAACAGAGAGAGAGCGAGACACACATTGAAAATATATAACTACAGAATTATGACTATACATGGGGCATGGAACAGACGGGAGGCTTGACGACAGAAATGTAAAGACTAGATAAGAAAACTAAGGTGACCTAAGAATACAAATGTTAAACAGAAGGCTAACAACTATAATAACCAAAACAAGGAACAGAATCTTAACCTCAGAATATTAAATAAACCAAAATCAAAAGTCCAAACACAGAAACGATGCGTCACAGACCCGTGACAATGACAATCTGGATAGAAAAACACACAGTGGAACACTATCAATCATGGTTCAACCTCCCTAAAACCAGGACCTCAGCATTTCTGAAGCAATGTGGGATCATTTTGACAGAGAATTTGGAGAAAAACAAAGGCAGATAGCCAATCCAAGAAATAACTTTTAATTTCCTTCAAGATGCCTGGAGAACTATCCCTGAAAACTACTTAAAGAGATTACATAAATAAAAAATATCAAATAATGGCTTTCAATTAGAATTCTCCAAATTCTGTTTTTGTGTTGTACAGTGAATCTTCATGCAACTACTTCAGGTTTTCATAGCAAAAAACAAAGAAACAAGTGGTGCCTCAAGACTTTTGCACAGTAGCTTTTGATCTAAGGACTTTGTGCCCGCTGTTCAAAGCAAGCTTATTTTGTGGTAATTTTCTTCTGCAGTTGGAATTTGAGGTTGTCGGCGCTGGAGGGAAAGACACTTGCATTGCAATCGATGACATCTTTCTTGCACATTTTCCCTGTGAAAATCAAGGTTTGAAATGCCTCATCAAGATTGAAATCACTACAGATTTTAAGACTGCAGTAAAAGCAGCACGCAGCTCTATGTATCTAGATACTTTTCCTCATGGTCTTTAACCAAGGATCCCGCTAAGACTTTAAGACTACAGTAAAAATGAATGAATGAATGAAAGAATGTAATATTTTTAAATATTACATTCTTTAGACATATTTTTGTTTGTCTTCCATTTTGTGCTGTATATTTGAAATTGTGGCTTCAGTGTGTCTGTACTACTCTGTGGTTACACTATGCTGAGTTAGAACAGGTTTTTTTTTTAAGTCTATCTGAGGCTGGATGATGCTCTTAAAGACTAGAGAAGTCTTTTACTCACCACTGGCCACAGGCCAAAGAAAATAATGCATGCATTTAGTGTTGCACTCCTGTGGTGAGTGAAACCACAATTGCCTACAGTACCACCTAGAGAAGGTGTAAGCCAATTTGCACTGGTGTATTTTTATGTCTTTAACCCACTAAAATAAAGGCCTTACATTAGTTTTCAAAAACTACTCCGAGTACATGACTACCTCCTCTATAATATGTTATCCTACTCAATATTGCACAATTATAGTGTAATATTTATTTTGTTAGATTCCCCAGGTTCCAAGTGTAGTATGGAGAGAGGCATGTGCAGCTGGAGCAACACTCAGAACATGACCATAGACAAACTGGACTGGGAGCTGACGGGTGCAGAGATGGAACATCACTACCCAATCCCACTTGACGACCACACTTTGGGCACAGAAAAAGGTAAAACCAGAGAGAAACAAACAACTAAACAGCTGGCAGATGCTGCAAAGTCACACTTCTTATCTTCTTTTTCAAAACACCCTTCTTTTCTTTTCTGCAAGGTCACTTCCTGTTCTTTCCAAGCAGCAATCGGACAGAAGTGAGTCAAAACGCTCTACTGCTGAGCCCTCACCTGCCCCCTACTAAGGGCACCTGCCTGAAGTTCTGGCTCTATAAAAGCCAGTCGTGTAAGAAAGAAAAAACATATTCAATTTATGTCAGTTTTGAATGCATTTACCTGTAAATATTTTTAACCTTTTTTATGAATGACTTCAGCGGACTGCCAGCTAAAAGTATGGAGACTCTCCGAAGGTCGTTTCAACCCGCTGGCTGAGACCGAACTTGTTGGACTGTGGAAACGTTTTGACATTGACATCACATCTACTGAGGAATACCAGGTCAGGCTCACATTTATAACAAATGGCTGAATACACTTGGTGACTTGTTGTTGTATGTAAGCATATACGACCTACTGCAATCTCTGCTGTCATCTTACTTTTCCTGTAAACAGATTGTTTTTGAAGGCGTCAAAGGTACAGCAGGTGTGGTAGCTCTGGATGACATCGAATACACCATCGGGATCAACTGCGCTAACAAAGTCACAGATCCAATAAAACGTATGAGCAGAACTCCCAGATTTCTATTCAAACTATTACAGACTGTATTAGAGGTTTTTAATGTTTCTGCAAAATGTGCATGCTCAGATTCAGTGCTGAGAAATTTAAAAAGAGGCAGTTTTCATTGAGTGTCCACCACCCCTGCAGACAGCAGTAAATGTTTTTTTGTGACATTTCTGCACACTGCTTCTGCATTTTGGCTTATTTTTGGTCAATAAAATGAATAAATACCTAAGATAATAATAATAAATAATATCTGCTAAAAAACAGGTTTTTGTTTTAATGCCCTGACATGTAAAACCTTTTAATTAAAAGAGGCTGTACTTTATTTTTCATGAGCAGCAGTCACCGTTAAGATGGGTTTTTTTTAAATAAAATAAAATTTCCAAACTGACAAAGTGAATTTAGAACTAATATGCTTTTAATAATATTCAGTTTTTCAGCTCTTTAATTTTTTTAACCATTCAACCATTTGACTGAATTTCTAACTACAATGTAAAGTTTGGCTTCACTACATTAATGAGACAAATACTAAATGTTTCCCATCTGTGCTGCAGCCTCCCCAAACCGAGACAATACAGGAGGTATCGCGGCGTCTGTGATTGTGGTCCTTCTGCTCATCGGCACGTTGGTCGGCCTGCTGGTTTTCTACCTGCGAACACGACAGACATCACCTTCCTCATTTGTTGCTGGTTTCACTAATGAGTCTTATGACACAGACCGCACAGTGAGTAAATCTGACATTCAGACCCTTAAGAACACAAAAAGCAAAAGGACAAAAGCATTGCCCATATGATCAAAAAGGCTGATTTTTACCTTAATGTGTCTTAACTAATCACTAATAATTAATTAGAGTTCACTTCAGCAGGACCATGTTACAGTTCCGCAGACCCAAAACCCAGATGGCAGCTGGTTTCAATAATGTCTCTGTGAGTATTTAATATGACATTTGCTGTTTGATTTCCAATCCTTATAAGAGGCAGCTTTATAGACTTTTCTGCCACCAGATGGTAGAAATAAACTCCAGAATACTTCATATAAACTAGCACTTAAACACCAGAGACAAAGTAACATGGTACCTGTTGAAGTCCTATCTGTCGCCACCTGTTGAATCTCTCATTCATACATTTTCTTACCAAAGTGCTGATTCACTGGGTTTTGGCTTCAGAGGCTGTACATGAACATAAAAAAAATTATAGGCTGCTTTATTTCATGTTTAAATTTCATAAATATGTTAATAAATCGTGAAATTAATGGTCAAAATAACGGAAAAATAGAAGTTATCTTTCATGTAGCAGTTTATCCAAAATTTACATTTTCACTTCACAACAGTCTGACCTTTTTATGTTTTTGCAGGTCTCTTGTAACACCAGAGAAATGGAGGTGGAATGAGACTCAAGGTACAAAGGTTCTGCCACCCAAAGGTGGTTTTGTTGAAAAAAGGTGATATCACAGCAGGAGAACTACTTGTGTCACCCATACATCACACACACAATATGCAAGCATAGCTCACACACTGACCAACCAAGCTAAGCCTAATTGGTGAAGATACCTCAGATCAGATGTGACTCTGGCTGTGGATGGAAAGAAGACAAAAGGAAAAGGTCTAATGTGTTTTGGATGAAAATGAACTTTCTCTAAATCAAGACTGGGCACAGCCCATGAATGACAGAAATGGCTGTAAGTAGATCATTTTAGGTGTCTCAGAAACCTCGAACAGTTATAAGTTAATTTTAAGTGCAAGCAGCAGAAAGATTTCAGTAGTTTAAGCCCCCTTTTTATCTTCTAAAACGGGCACTCTAAAAAACAACTAGCAAAATAATTTGCTAGTTGTGTGAATAAATACTCAGCATATGGAAAAGTAATATAACTTTGTCAGTTCATAAGTTTTTTTTCCCAGCTTCAGCCTAGAGACTACATGTTTATAACAGAATAAATGGGCCACTGGAGTTTGAAACTATGAGAATTTATCAGAACCCTTGAGTTGCAATATGTAAGTGGAGTCCAACTCATATTAGGGACATAAACTCTTAATTTGTTGTTCAAAAAGAAGGGAAGTTGTGGACAAAGGAGAAAAGACTGTAAACACGCAGGTTATAGCCTTGAGAAAGTTGCATTTAAGTGGACGCTGAGGTGCGCTAGTGTTTTTAAAGATTGTTAGAGTAATGCAATGTTTTAGATGTATTGAAGGGTTCATTTTACTCTGTTTTAAAACAAGCTGTGATTGAGCTCTGGTAATAAAAAATGATGACTACTGCAAGACCAGTTTTTTTTTTTCTCTGATCCCAGATAGTTCTTCTGGTGTATGCAGGAGGTAGGTCTAAAGATTTTTTCTGAAATCATATTTTAAAAAAACTATAATTTATTTAAAGATTTGAGTAGTGAATTACCTGTTAATTATAAATTAATCAATAAGCAGTAGAAAATATAAAAGAGTAAATCAGTCATTTGAATAGCTAGCCAAAAGTAAAGCTAACTAAAAAGTGTAGGTAAATAGTTGTTGGCAGGTTGTATGTACAAGCTTATAAATTAGCTCGCTAAACAACTGAAAAAGGCTGTGAAACCTAGCTAAAATTATGAGTAAAACATATCTAAAAAATATGTCTACCTAAATATGTTAGCAGCTGAATTGTTAGCGAACAGAGTAATAGTTGAAATACAAGTTTTAATAAACACAATTTTTGATAACAGTATATTTATTACTTGAAATAGAAAGGTGAAAGTAGCTAGCAGTGTATAGAGAGAGAGAGAGAGAGAGAGAGAGAGAGAGAGGAATTCTCTTGGTGAAAATCTTTTGTTAATGTCAAGGGTCAGAGGAAAGTAACCATACTGCTTCAAGCTAATAGGAAGGCAACCAAGGTATGCAGTAAAGCATCTCTGAATGCACAACACATCAAACCTTAGGGCAGATGGGCTACGGCGGCAGGAGATCACACCAAGTGGCACACTTGACAGCTAAAGACAGGAGACAGAGGCTACAGTTTACATGGGCTCACCAAAATTAAACAAAGGATTTGAAAAATGTTGCCTGAGTGATGAGTCTTGCTGTCTGCTGAAATACTGGAACGGTAGGGTGAGAATTTGGTGTAAACATGTGAAAGCATGGATCCAACCTGCTTTGTATTAATGGTTCAGAATGATGTGGGAGATATATTCTTCCACGCTTTGAGCGTATTCTTGTTGACCATGTCCATGCCTTAATGACCACAGTGTACTTGATGACTGCATCCACAGGACAACATAACATGTCACAAAATTAAAAATATCTCTAACTGGGTTTTTTTTAAGATGACAATGAGTTTACTGTATTCAAATGGTATCCAGAGACATCAGATCTCAATCTAATAAAGCAGTTGGAGAATGGGAGGTTTTGCATTATGTGCAGCCCAAAAATCTGCAACAACCGTTGATGCCATGATGTCAATATGGGCCCAAATATCTCAGAAATGTTTTCATAACCTTGTTGAAACTATGCCATGAAGAACTAAGGCAAAAGGGAGTTCAACATGATACTCCCAAAGTGTACCTAATAAAGTGGCCAGTGAGTGTATAGCCCTTTTATATGGGAGGCTTTGAAACTGTTTATGTGGTGTTTGAAATAAAAACCTATTTGCTGAAAATTATTGCAGAAATTACTGAGACTCTGAGGTCAAGTTGCCAATTTTTATAATTTTTTTTAATCCTTTGTGTACACTGTAATTACCTGGTGGGTTCTTAACATGTGCTCACCACATAAAAACTTCTCACGGGGTAAATATTTTTTGTGCACAAGATACAGAATGTGGCACTTCAGAGACTCGTCATTCATTTAATTTCAAAGTAGCAAATATTTTATGGTTTCTATATTCAGATTGCTTACTGTTGAAGTGAAAGCAAGAAAATTACACATACTTGTGTGGCTTAAATATTTAAATAAGGTGAATAATATATACTACTAACATATAAAAATAAAAAAAGACTTAATTGCTGCATGACCCGTGTGTCAAAGGATAAATAACAGCCTAAGCAATAATGTGTTCTTGGGTGCAGATGCTTCGTTCAGATGGGATGACGACAGCATGCCCTTAGCAACGGTCGCGTCTCTACGGCAACATCCTCCGAGGTCCCCTCTTTGCAGTTGTCACCGCGGCTTTCAGATGTTGCCCGTGAGACGCACAGAAACCACCGCTTCACTCGGATGTTCGGGGTGGTTTTGGAGGATGTTGTGCTATCATGGATGTAATCCGAGGGACCACTGCGGTAGCCGTTCGTGTCTTGCGATTTGAGTGCCTAAAGTGGACACAGGGCAACTTGGGCACCAGCCCTCTTCTGGATCTTAGTCATCCATCTCTCAGTTGCCATCCTGCACAAGATCATACACCCGCAGCCTCGTGCAGTCCCCGCTTCTCGTTTACCCCGGCTTCATTCGCGCCAGCCGCGTGTCATACGGCGGCTGAATGGATCCCGCCGTGCTCATCTTCCTGCTGTACGTGATGATCGCGCACGACCTGGTCTGCGGCTGGATGCAGTACCGGAGACAGAGCGCCAAGCCTCGCAAACGAGCTGACCGACCTCTGCTGAGCTCCAGGTGTGTGTGAGTGTGTTTATGTGTATGAATGGCGGTAATCAATCAGTTGTGTTAACCACCTGCAGTCTCTGATAGTTTTTAGTAAATGGCTGTTGAGGGGCGGGGGGAGATCAGAGAAAAGAAAGGCTTTGCAGAACTTGTAAATGACTTACCAAACTAAAGCTATAATGTGTTAAATGTTCACACACACAGCAGCTGGTGAAACATTCACAACCACCAGTCTTGGTTGACTGTAATCTGTCGACCATATCTGTAACGAATGATGTAAAGTCATTTTGGGTCAGAAAGAACATTTCTGTCACCATTTCGAACCTGCAATAGATAGACAATCAATCACAATAATAAAAAAAAACCACATACAAGATCATTAAAAACCCTTTGTTTTTAATGATATTTTTAAATCTGTTGCTTAAATCAATCACATGCTTGCACATGTGGGTGTCATGTGATTTTTGGGGTTTTCTTTGTTTCTTTTTAATATTGTAGAGCATTTATCTTTTAAAATTAAGTGCCTTCAAGCAACTGTTGTTGTATATATAAAATTTAACTGAACAGAATTGAAGTGTTGTGCGGCATGTTGTAGATGCCCCACAACACCCGTTTTTCTTGGATTGTCTAAGTTTAATGAGGTTTCCATTCAAACTATCTGTATTTCCTTTCAGTGCTCGTGTTTGTCAGGGAGCCTGGAGAGCAAGCATCCAATCGGTCAGGACAAATAGAGGAATGAGGGACCTGAGGAAGTGCGGCCGCATTGTGAGAAAGGCCTAAAAAAGAGACAAGTTTGACATATAAGGACACTTATTGAAGAGTAGGGACTTCTGAGCGTGACCTGGCCCGCAAGCCTGATCTGGGTCTTCTCACTTTTAATTTTACTGGGCATTTCAACCATGTCTTAACATTTGGAAGAGCAGCTGGCAGCGTCTTTCTGATGCAAGTCAAGAAGCAAAAGTCCAAACTGCTAAGAGATTTATAAGGTCAAACTTAAGGTATTGCCAGTATTAGTTTCCTCTATCATTCATTTGTATTTGAGCTATGCCTTTCAAGGTGCTTTGAATACCATTTTTGTTTGTTTGTTTGTTTGTTTGTTTGTTTGTTTGTTTGTTTGTTTTGTTATAATATTTGTATTTTTATGTGTGTAAGATTAACTGTTTAAATATGTATTTTTCCTAGTTTGCTGAAGCATGAATTGTCTCCTACAGTACTGTCAAATACCAAATCAAGGCTAAGAAGCTATGAGCTTTATACTAAAAGCTGCACAAAAGTAAACTTACCTTAGACAAAGTGATTTAGTGTAAAAGTGTAAATGTAACCTTGCAAAGAATCATTTAGTAATTAGATATAACTCAGAAAAGAAATGGATGTAACTGGTTGCATCATTTGCGCAGATCTACACGTTCTATGTTCTGTTACACATTAATTCGTCTATAGCCCCTAACTCTAACCCATATCATAAAAAGTGAATACAGCACCCATGTGCTGTAGCACCTAAGAAACAGGGAAAATATTGTCATTTTGTATTATAGGCTATTCCTTTAAATCTGGGGAACAACTTATTACCCTGGAAAATCTCCATGTAGACAACAACTTTATTGGTTGTTGGAGGCAGTAAATCTAGTTCTTGCATATCCTGTGCAATAAGTGTTTCCAGTGAAGTCAAGGTACTTTCATTTTAATTCAAACAAGACAAACCATTTCATGTATGTGTGCACTGTGTGTCAAATAAAATGAAATGTGTGTGTTACCTGAGAGACATTCAAAGCTGCTGCTTGTTAAAGAGTATAAATTTGAGCCTAATGTTACTGTTGCTACTTATGGATAATTTACAGATGTTTGGTGATCCAGATATGGCCAAAATTCATGAGATGGGATTGGCAAGTGTTAGGTGTCACTGA